ATTTAAGGTGGGAAACAATAAGCTTGCCAGTGCTATCGATGAAAAACATCTGGTTCTTATGTTGACACATTATTTTTATCTTGTAAACTGATGATATTCATTCCTTTTCCTAAAGGACCACTGTGCCTGCTGGTTTTCATCCTACCCTGGAGTCCTAATGATTTGATTTGAATCAGTTGCTCGCCTAATTGGTTTCCAGTACCACTGTTTACAGATCTTGAGGATTATAAATTACTTATAAAACCTGGTGGATTTCAGGACCAGCAGTGAATATCATTGCTCTAAATCAATTGATGCTACCAACTGTGTTGGTTGGCTTTTGCGCAAGAGGAATTCTCAGTTAGTTTGGTTGATTTAAATTTTTAATTTCAATCAATATTTTTAATGTGTGGAATTGCTGCTGGAAATGTTATATTGGATTTGTAATGTGCATCAACCTTTTCAGTACTCCCCTTATTCAGTAGTATTGAAAATTTAATATTGGAATGTTAGAAAAAATGTACAGGGTACTGTATATACAGTACAGTAGAACAGTATATACAGTACATATACAGTATGATATATTGCCATTCCTATCTGAGCCTGATCACCTGTTATTCTGTTATGTCAGAAATAAATGTAAGAAAGTTCACAACAGAATGCTTTGTTTTTTAGTTGTTTTTGGAAACAATACACATGGTGGAGTGCTTTTTAAAATTCAGGATGGAAAGCAGGAACAAATACACCACAAGTCTAAACAAGAAATTAGCTTAATTACTAGAGATTCAGTTGGAATGGAAAGAAGCAGACCTCATTGAAAATCACATTCTGATATAAAGATGATCTTTCTGGTAAAAGAGGGGGTTATGAGCATTGGAGACCTCTAAGAAAGACATAAATTTGAAGATGAGAAATAAAAGGTTTGAAAGGAGTTGTAAACCACATATTCAGTTTACCAAAGGAAATCTTGCGCATTGTACGTTTGACTTTGGATAATATAAAAAAAGAAAAGGTTAAAATATCAAAGGTAAGGACCAAAACTGAAAGTTATTTGAAAAGAATGAAAACTTTACCTGACTGTTCAAATCAACAGTGTGTACAGGGAACTATATTTTTAGGCATGTATTTTGTGTCTGAAGTAAAAGGGCTGAAGTCTATGATTTAGAAGAATGCCAGCTCTAAAAGTAGAGGAATTTAAACTGGATTGCAATGT